TCTTGCTATTTTCAAATATAAACTGTAAAATTTAGATAGATCTGAGAGTTTTCTATTAAAAATGTAATGTTGTTTTATAACGAAAAAGTAATCAGTTTACAAGAAAAATCGGTTTAAATATATGTTATAACACTTTCCAAAGTGTGCTTTTCAAAGCATTTAAATCCGTTTTTATTGGAAATGGAGCATTTTATTGAAAGAAATAAAGAGTACCTTTTTTCTAGAGGGAATGAAGGTCTATCATATGTTGGTCTCTGAATTTGAAAATTTCGACAAGCAAAAAAATTGGGGCAAATATTAGCCGACAACCTCTAATTAAGACGAACCTGATCAAAATTTTTAAAAATTTTTATGATGATCTATTTCCACTTTTAATGAGCGTTCATGGTGTCACAATTCATAATTTTCCTTCTACCCATTTTGGAAATATTTTAAAAAAATGATTTTTTTGAGGCCCCATTTAGGGAGGCGTAACTCCCTTCTGAATTTTTTTTTGGACCAATGTTTATATGAAAAAATAATATTATTTCTGGCAAAAGAATGAAGTGGTAAATTATTTGACACTAATTATGAGACACCCTGTATATTAATATTTCAACTGTTATTATAATCTTAGTTATGATGTGCATGACTGGAAATCTTTAATTTTAAAATTGCCACATTCCTTAATGGTAGAGAACAGTATGTGTATTTGCAGTATTTCGATCAACATATAGTGTAGTGTCAGAGTGCTTAGATGTAAGTATAAGCATTCCTTAAAGATCCATCATTTGGGTCCCATTCTTTTTATTTTGTGTAGGTACCTATAAATGATGTTGAGCAACATAATGATTTTAGCAAATTTACTACATATGTGGATGATATCTATCTAATGACTTACACATCTAATCATTTAATCAATAAATCTGTGAATAAATTTTGATGTCGTTAGATAATTATTTTTCTCAACATCAGTTCTATATGTTTCTTGTTTTGTGAGCTGACCTATCTCAGACGCAAACTTATTTGTGTCACATATATACATACAAATGTTTCAAAATAACAGCCCACATTGGATGATGAATAATTATCTTGAAATAGTATACATTATTGAGAAACCTTTACATAGATAATAACAATAATTGACTTAGATATAGGTACCTATACTTACAGTACTTTTATTAGAGGATCCATGTGATCTCTATATACAACATTGAAGTTGCAAATAGTCACAGCTGGAAAAGGAACATTCCAGATAGGTAATACGATTGTTCTGATATCTCAGTAGCTGCATATAGATGAATAGGGAACATAATATTACACATGAAATACAAATGATGCACCAAAAGATCGTTTTGTATGATGCGTTTTCCTTTACAATATAACTAAAACTATGCAGAGTAGTATTAGAGCAATATGTTTTTGCTTTTAGAGTCACACCTTTATAAAGCTTTTTGCCTAACAGAGAAATTGGTTTATTAATATGAATTGGTCTTTATTGCCAAATTTATTACATACCTAAAGAAATGTAAAACTTCCTTCTCTAGATTTTCATAATTAATTCTGGACTAGTTTTTTAGTAGTACTAGTACCACAGATAAGTATATGACAAATACATATTTTTCTGCTCCAGTAATAAGTAATTTTCTGTAGTTTCCATTGTAATGAACCTCAAGTGTACTATTGTAATGAACCTCAAGTATACTACCTATTTGTTATATTGGTTGCCATTATAAATCAGATTCAATCAGACTTGATTAGTATCTAGGTATAATTAAGCAAGGTATCGACAACATTAATATTGGTATATAATTAAATCGTATTTCCAGATATTATTAATTGCCATTGTCATTAAGTAGGAATACTTTGTAATACCTAGCCTTAAGATAGTAAGGTTTAAGTGCATTAGATACTTTTATTACTTGCGTTGTATGGTAACTTTTATATTCGTAAAGTTTTTTATTTTTGAAGGTGAGTTATTAGTTTATTAGCTAGAAACTTGAATCGCTTTCATATACGACACTAATCCTCAATTTTGTCAAATGGTTATAAAAAAAATAAAATTACTTTAATTTTCAATTTCAAGTTTCTTAGAGATCATAAGATATAAAAAAAGATAAAGTGCCAGAACTTATATATGTATAATCGATACATAAACTTATTCTTTCTTTGGCAACCACAGTTGGCTATATAGGTTCATATGTAAATTTTTTTTATTTATAATTTCAAAGATTTGGTCTTGTTACATCTACTGTAAATTTTGATACCAAGAAATATTTGACGTTTATGTATTTTCACCATTAAGTAAGCATAGTAACAAATATGTATAAAATCCTCGTATAATCTGTATCTCACGTTGCTGCTCAGATCAATTCCGTTGGGGTCCTGAAAAATCCTAATGCTGCTTCTACTGACAAAGTACAATTTACTTCAGAATATCGGCTTTCTATGAAAAACTTGTCCTCTCGAAAACAAGATCCGCATGACCATCTTTCCAATGACCATTCATTGAGCCAATTGTCAATGGATTCTATTCATAACGTTGCGGAAGCCCAAATACTTGTTCTGGCGTCATGAATTGACTACTTGAGTCCTGTCTGGCCAACACGTAGATCCATGCATTGCCCGTCAGATTGACAGGAAACCCATGTCAGTTTCTCAAGATTTAACCATCCCAACAAGGTAGGTATCAACATATTCTATGACTGCTTGTGACGATATTATAGGACAAAAACATGTTCAAAGCTACCTAACATCTCCTTTTGAGATTTTCTTATGATCAGACATAGATAATTAAAAAATCTCTGCAACTTTTATTCTTAACTTTTTTTGTATCTCAAACAATAACAGAGAAAAAGAGGGGGGCAACTCAGTTTAGAAAATATTTAGAATTATTTGTTTGAAAACTTTAAAACCCTGTATTTCAGACAAAGATCTTTAGGGATTTTCGTAAACAACGAAATATACTTCTACAAGAAAATATTCTTAATTTTTTAAAAGTTTATATAGGTAGTGTTATATTTTATAGGCATAGGACCAGAACAAAAAAATTAATGCTATAATTACAAAAAAATAATGGTTCAAAATGTAAAATTAACATTTTATTTAGTTTTATAAAAAAATAAGCATATTTATATTTTATCATTATATTTTTTGCTGCTGCTGTAGTTTGATTTCATAACTGTAAACACACAAATAAACTTTCTAATGGCATGAAGGAATGCATTTTTCCCATTGAAAAATATCTTAAGTTTATAGGTCGAGAGTGGTCTTCATAAAATTGTTAATATATCCAAGTATCTAACAATAAGTACCTATATACTTGAGAACATTGGAGGCAAGAAAGCGAAGGAAAAATAAAACTTTTGCAGATATAGGTTTTACAATGTCTCTTTTCCTTTAGTGAAGAAGCTGAGTTTAATAGGAACCGAACTATAAGATTAAATCACATATCCTCTGATATACAGGATGTTACAAATTAGTAGGTCAACCCGTTAACCACATATTCTTTGGACTAAAATAATGGGACTTTTCTTAAGTCACTTTTCATTTTGCAGCCCCATTTTCAAAATAGAGGGGTGTCAAAATTAAAATTTAAAAAATGATTTTTATTGATTACTTAGCTGATTATAGATATTTATTTGAAATTTAGCATATATTTTGATCTCGATTTTGATCATAAGTCGACACAATTCTTGTACAATTTTGGTTTAAAGTATCAAAGCGCGAACTGAGTTGAGGGGGATTGCAGTATCCATGTATATTTTTTGAGTACGCCTATACTTTCCAAATATTTTTTTTAGATAAAGTGGTGTTTTATTCTATTTTTTTCACTCTTGTAAGATTTTTATTTAGGGCCTCATTTACAAGATATTGTAACTTTTTTGGACGATGAAAGATTTGAGTCGTCTTATTTATTTCAATTTACTGAATAAAATGGGAGTGATCATGTTCAGTAATATTTAATTTGACCTAAATCTAACATATCTAAAAAAGTTGCAAATCTCATACAGCAAGCTCCAAATCAAAATATGTGGTTTTAGCCTAAAGTGTAAGTTGTTGAAGTAGTTGGTATTGGTACCATATAAAAGAAATTTTTTAAAAATTCCAAAAATTGAAGTCTAACGTTAACTAAATTGATGTCGCGTATACAGGGTGTTAAAAAAAAACTGTAAAATATTTCAGGAGGTAATAGTATGAACCAAAATAAGCAGAAAAGTCTTAATAAACATGGGTTCACAAAGTAACGGTTGCGGAGATATAGACCACTATTCGTTTTCCAAACATTTTATTTTATTAGGAATAAACCGACAAAGGAAGCTTTTAACAAACAAAAAACAAAGTTACAGAAGATGTTCAAAGTGCCCTCCGTCCATTTCCAAGCAGGCACGACAACTTCGTCTCAACGATATTCGAACTCTTTCGAAAACACCCTCCTTGGTTTGGATTTCTTGACACTTTTGATTAATCCGTAGCTGCAGCTCTTCCAGGCTATTTACTGGAGTACCATACACTAATGTCTTCAAATATCCCCAAACAAAGAAATCTAGAGGGTTCAGATCAGGCGATCTTGGAGGCCGGACCTGTTTTATAGCCTCCAAGATCGCCTGATCTGAACCCTCTAGATTTCTTTGTTTGGGGATATTTGAAGACATTAGTGTATGGTACTCCTGTAAATAGCCTGGAAGAGCTGCAGCTACGGATTAAAAAAGAGTTCGAATATCGTTGAGGCGAAGATGTCGTGCCTGCTTGGAAATGGATGGAGGACACTTTGAACATCTTCTGTAACTTTGTTTTTTGTTTGTTAAAAGCTTCCTTTGTCGGTTTATTCCTAATAAAATAAAATGTTTGAAAAACGAATAGTGGTCCATATCTCCGCAACCGTTACTTTGCAGACCCATGTTTATTAAGACTTTTCTGCTTATTTTGGTTCATACTATTACCTCCTGAAATATTTTACTCTTTTTTTAACACCCTGTATTTAAGGTTCAAGGGAAGGTACCCCCATTTTAATTTTTTATTTCAGGAATTAACTACATTCAAAATTTTTTCATAACAATTTTTTTTTGTAAGCCCAGAAATCATCATATAAAAAACGGTATGTGCTTATTTACATAAACTTTGTTCGTTTTATACATTTGATACTTATTCTGGCCATTCGTTTGTATTAAATATTATTATTTTTGTAATAAATAATATGTACCTAATTTTTTATGTCGAATATTGGTTTGAGTTTGAATGTTATTTAATTTGTTTGCCTGGTTTAGTATAAATGCAGATAATCATTTAGAATGACGTTTCTTGTAAAAATTGTAGTACAATAAGTATTTTACAGTTAGAAATGTAACAATAATAAACATCATTTTAACATTATCTAGTCATAAGATTTTTTCCCCACCATCAGTTTTTTCCTTTTTTGGGGGATATATTTGAAATTTTATATCTGATCCTTTTTGCCTCTTCTGTAAGAATCTTGCCTCGGTTCTTAAGGCACTTTCTAAGTAATTGTATACATGTTCCTATAAAAATAAATTGTTAAATTTATAATCCAAGTTTTTTTAAATAAAACTTACAGCCTTGTCTATATTGCTACTATCTCCGTTAATAACCACCCGAACCTCATATGATTTAGTAATCCACTTGGAAATTTTTCTGATATCCGTTTGTAAATCATGTTCTGTTATGTTGTGACTAATTATAAGGACTTTTTCCCCTTTTATATTACCTTTCTGTTTTTCTTTTTTCTTTAGATCTCTTTGCTTCAGGTCTTCTGCATGATATTCATTTCCAGTCATCAATTTATAAACAGGTCTTTGAGTTTTTGTATCAAGGTCTACAATTTTAACTAATTTTAAATCTCTACGTTTTGAAATCTTTTGAGCTTCTTCTAAAGTCGATACAGTTAACTGATCTCCACTTATTAAAGTAATTTTAGGAATGATAACCGTTTTCTTCTTTTTTTCCTCTCCAGTCACTGGATCGACTACTTTGATTGTTTGATTTGTTGGTTTTGATGAATAACTCGATTGGCAACCACATAGTAATGTTCTTAACACTCTGTTGTTAATAATTATCCCATTATTATTAATGTTTATCAATCTGATAGTTCTGGATAATAATCGTATTGGCATAATTTTTTCAAAAATAATATTTTAATTTAATAAAACTGCTCAACTATTCGCAGAAGTACAGGTTATAACCATTGACCTACCTAGGATTAGATGATCGAAATTGGTGGAACGGTGGAACATAACTAATCCGATTCAGTGAGCCGGCTCTTTGTACTGATCCAAGTGAACCTATTCATTTTCAAACATTCGTCCCTGATCTCATTACGTTACAGGGTGCCGATGAATATCCGAAGGCGTCAATTGAAATCAAGATCAGTGCCCTAGATAAATGATACTATAGATAGGAAACTTGAACAGATTTCGTGGTCATTAACAGCGCTAACTGTTGACACTTTCTCCAATTTCTATTGCTTTCCTTTTTTAGGAATTATCGGTAATACAGTGAGTTAAATTACCTGTAGCCGGTAAAAGATGCAAGCGCCATTTAGTTGTACGCTCTACAACTATATACCTACCTACTCAATATTTGTTTTAGGTATTCTGCCGCCGCTAAATTTAAAATTACATAACAAATCTCACCCTACACAGATCACTCAGAAATTGATTTTGTAAAATAATTTTCACGTAGATAATTTTTTTTGTCACCATGAGAAAATAAGTACATTTGATAAAAAGCATTAAAATCACTCAAGCATTAAAGACACTTTNTGACTAAGTACCAACGCGGCACATAGTTCCAATCTTGGAATTGTAACTAGTTTTACCGGTGCAACCTTGGATTTCGAACATAGTAATGAAGTATATACAACACCGTTGGAATCTATGCTTCTTACATACAAACAAGCTCCATAAGCATTTTGAGCCGCATCTGCAAAACCATGGAGTTGGATGTTAATTGGTGATGTGCATACTACATGCCTAGGAATTTCTAACCGATTTAAAACGGAAAGCTGATTTCTAAACCTTATCCATTTGGTATGGAACTCAGAAGGTAATTCATCATCCCATGACAGCTTATAGGTCCATAATAACTGCAGAAGAATTTTCGCCGTAATTACGCATGGACTGAGAAGGCCCAACGGATCGAAGATACGAGATATATCCGAAAGAATTTTTCGTTTTGTTAGGATCTTACTGTCAGACACAGAGCGAATATTATATTTCAGAACATCTGATTTGAAAACCCAATACAGACCTAAAGTCTTTGTTTGTTCCTTGGCTCCTAATTGCATTACGTTAGAAACTGGACTACTACCTTGAAAAACATTAAGAACTGACTCGTCATTTGATATCCATTTGTGCAATTTGAAACATCCCTTTCCTAGAATATGGGATATCTCAGAACCTAATTCGATTGCCTCTCGAGGCGTGTCTGCTCCTGATATTAAGTCGTCGACATAGAAATCAGTTTTAATTACTTCTGAAACCTCCGGATGAGAATTTTGATGATCATTAGCTAGTTGAATTAGACAACGGATTGCTAGATAAGGTGCGGAACTGGTACCGTACGTCACCGTGTTTAAAGTATACGAATGAATGTTTTCTGATGTGTTTGATCTCCACAATATTTGTTGTAGATTTCGTTGCTCAGGCTTGACCAACACCTGACGATACATTTTCTCCACATCTGCACATATAACAATTTTATGCTTTCTGAATCTCAGTAGAATCGCTAACAAGTCATTTTGAATGGTTGGACCAACCAACTGTAAGTCATTGAATGACCACCCTGACTTAGATGGAGCTGAACCGTCAAACACTACTCGAAGCTTGGTTGTCGCACTATTCTCATTTAACACACCATGGTGAGGTAGAAAGTAGGATACTGGATTGTTTACTGAAGACTCTACTACCCTTGTCATGTGACCTAGATTCTCATATTCTGCCATAAACTTACTATACATCTCATAGAATTTAGGATTTTTTCGAAATTTGATCTCAAGTGACTCGAATCTATTTAAGGCTAGTTGTTTTGATTCGCCTAATCGAGAAATGGGCTCCTTTAAAGGAATTGTTACAATGAACCTACCCTCTTCATTTCGAGTTACTGTTTCACAGAAAATGTCCTCACACCTTTTCTCTTCTGCCGACAGATTTGGAGAAGAAAATGAAGAATCTTCAATCTCCCAGAATTTTTGTAACTGCTGTTGAACGTCTACATTTGTACTTAAATTACAGAAGGTGGAATTTGGAATGTTCAAGTTATTTTTGGACATCACTGTACCTGATATTACCCATCCTAGACTAGTTTTCTGAAGTATTGGCTGGTTATTGCCTAAAGAAATTCGATCATTCGAAAGTAAACTGTAAAATATCCCGGCACCTAATAGAATTTGAATTGGTCCAGGGTTTCCGAAGTTCGGATCTGCTAACACAACATGATCGGGAATTTGTGGTAGATTACCACTGCTAATTGGTTGGCTTGGAATTTGTTCACAAATTTTTGGAATAACTAAACAAGAAATAGATGTTTGGAAATTTTCATGACACGATTGAATCGTTATTGTACATCGATCTTTGATATTTGAAACTGCTTGTCCAATACCCATAATTGATAAGTTTACTGGTGATTTCTGAAGTCCTAATATGGAGCACAAGTCAGCTGTTATCAAATTTGACTGAGACCCACAATCAAGCAGAGCTCTACATACATGAATTTTTCCCGATTTGCTTACTACACGAACCAACGCTGTTGACAGTAAAATATCACATGATTGTTCTAGGTTTTGACTCGACATTGATATTACACTTTTGTTTGAATTATTTGCATTAGTGCTTTCATTGCTGCCGCTTGCAGTTTGTGCTGTATTAATGCCTTCTTTTTGTACATTTGATTCGTTTGATTCCCATTCGGTATGTAATAGTGTGTGGTGACGTCTATTACATTTTTGGCAATTAGTTGATTTGCAATATTTCACAAAATGATTGTTACGTAAGCAATTTCTGCAAAGTTTTAATTTGTCTATTTGTTCACGTCTTTCTTTGATAGATAACTTCAGAAAATCAGGACAATTATTTGTATAGTGTGAACCTTTGCAATATAAACAATTGTTATTTGTTGTCAGAAATATATTTGTTTGATCAGATTTTCGAAAACGTGCATTGCTTAATTGATTTGACTTCAATGAAGTTCCCTTTAACTTAGCCTTTAAATCCCTTTGATTAAACTCTAATGTTTCAAGAAAATCTGCTCTACTCTTTACGAATGTTTTAAATTCATCTAGTGTTGGAAGATTTTTTCCATGTTTTGTTTGCTCCCATTCCCGCTGAGAATCGTTATCAAGTTTTCGACTCATTAAAAATATTAACAAAGAATCCCAATTTTCAACGGGTTGGTTTAATGCCTTTAGTGCCCTTAAGTGTTTTGAAATTGAATCTACCATTTTGCGTAGTTCCCCTGAATTACTATTACTTAAACAGGGTGCATCAACTAATGATCTGATATGATTGTATACTAATAGTCTCGTATTATCATACCTTTCGCATAGCAATTTCCACGCGACTTCGTAATTTTGTTTAGAAACTTCCAGCGAAAGTATGATCTGTCTCGCACTGTCTTGCAATTGTGCCCGTAAATAATGAAACTTAGAAATTTCTGGAATTTGAGCATTCTCATGTATCAAGGACGAAAACGTATCTCTAAATTCGAGCCATGTTTCATAATCCCCAGAAAATTTTGGTAACTCGATTTGTGGTAATTTTACACCTGATAATGTAACCTCGCTGGAACGAACCNACATCTGACCCATACACAAGAAAACGACAACAAGGCTTTGGTGGGACACCAAAGAAATATTTCATAAAATAAGGAATACCTAGCAACAACCTATCTTTACCGGTAGTCTTTCAAGAATACACAATACTAGTTATGGCTACACTACAAAAATGGCAGCCTTTTCCAAGAGTGATTGGAAGAGTGGTGTAATAATCGAAGTAGGTAATTTTAGTAAATCCATACCAGAGCCTAAAACTACCTGAAATTTTGAAATGATTCTTATGTAGAAATCAACGTCATGGACCCCACTTTTAAACCCAACACTTGAACGACAATAAATGTAAATATTGGTTAGAGAGTTAATCTCCAATTTCACATTTTCTTGTGAAGAAGAGGCCGGCTTATCTATGGAATGGTTAAGAAGTCTAAACCAACGACGTGATAGGTTGGAAATTGTTCAACTATTCGCGAATGCAGCTAAGAGCTCGCCCTCTGGCGGTGACAAGTGATACTAGCGAAACAAGGTAAACATTTCTTCTGTGTGTGACATTTCGTTTTGTATTTTATTTAAAACTGCGTTTAGTGTTCGTTTTTTGAACACTATTATTTTAAGAAAGTAATGTGAGGAAAATTTCAGCAATTATAGATAGAAAGAAGAAACTGTCAAACTATTATTGTTCAGTTCAAGGCAGCTCTTCTTGGTCCAAGAAAAATCAAGAATTAAGTTTTCATCAAACCATTGAAGAAATTTTCAAAATATTATTGCCGATAGATAATACTCCCTGAATTTCATGAGGGTTGTTAGTAAGGGCACTAGTTTGCAGACATAATATAAATTTCTAAATTTAAATTAACTTTGCCCAATTTTCCCATTTAGTACCACATGATCAGCGTTAAAAACTGCCCCTCCTTCTGATATACAACGAAAATTTTCGTTGGTATATATGTAAATAGGAAATGTTTTCCACAACGGATAAGTTCATAGTTATAACCTAATAAAATGTACATTAAATTGTAATGGTAGAGACAAATAAAGTAGACATAAATACTTGCCTTAAAATTTATTTATGAAATATTTCAAACCTATAAAATAACACAAAAGTCAAATAACCGCAGTTTGAAAACAAAATTACTAATAATAATGGCAAATAAGACAAATGTTGTTCAAATGAATGTGTAAACACGAACGGCAATGTCAAAATTACCTTGTCTCAGAGATTACTGCTTTCGCCTCTTGGTGCGCTTGCATCTTAAAAATTATCGCGGATAGACAACTGCCCCAAAATTGTGAAGCAAGTTTGTAACATTTGTTGTGAATCGCCCCATATGCAAAGCAGTTATTAATTGATCAAGTTGTTAAATAATGTGCAAAAATTTTTTTTAAATTGAGTACCTGTTTACTGGTTTACTAATGAATTCCAAATTTTATATATATTTTATCTTTATACTGAATTATTTTACATTTATTTATTGCTTTCGGAAAATAAACCGCCATCGGGAATATCAGGATTTCGCGTCGAAATGCGCAATTAAGCTGACGGGCAGATGTAACTCGAACAAATGTTTCAACGCGAATATATTTTTTTTTCTAGCTCTGCAGTACAATATGTAAACTACCTTTATCTCACGTCCGGCGTTTCGCAGCATTTTCCAGTCCGCAGCTACCAGTTCGTTGGTGGTTTTTAAATGTTCTCCCTTTAGTTTATTTCAGTACCTGGATAGTACAGGCTGTAATACAGCGATTTTTAGCAAGATTACGTTACATTAAAGCAAATAGGAGTTTTATGCTGAATAACTGGATGTAACTAGTTCAAAATTAAACTATGAATCGACAAATGAGAGAATTTAAACTCGTCGTTAGGAAACAAAACACTCCAAATTTATTTGTCCAACCTCTTATTACCACGACGGATAGTTAGTATATTATGTGAAATACTTAAACCTAGTAAGTCTCATCTAAGATTTGTGTTTCTTTTTTGTCTTATGTTGGTTTTAACTGAAGAAATTGAAATTAATTGAAAAATAAAAAATGTACCATACTGAAATAAAAATGACTAACTTTTCTCAATGCAATTTTTGTTTTCCATAAAGACCCTCTGTTCACACAGTGTACCATAGATTGTTTCTCTTGTGTATACAATACAATAGTAGATTCTGTTTCCATCATATAGCCCATTTCTGTTCAGGTGTTCCCTCTCAGGTCATGACGTGATGTGAGGAGACAGCTGTCTAAAGACAACATTGCTTCAATCTTCTTTCTTGTTGGTTGTGCAATGGAAGTCTTCCTATATTGATGCCTGGACCAAATTGTTCCAGTACCTCTTGATTGATTGTTGACCCATTTCCTTGTATAACTCCATACAATGGTTTTTTCTACACTTAGAGTAAGTTCCGGAACAATATAAGCAGCCCACAAAGTCTTCCTAACTAATTCCTGAGATTTTCATTGCCTTCAACATCTGAGTGCCCCGAAATCCATATTATTGTTAAAGTACTATGGGTCTGCTCTGACCGAATAATTCCTGTATCATTGGAAGAGTTTTAAAACTATTATTTTTACTACAATTCTCAAGTAATTCATAACTGAATTACTGATTTTAGATTCAAGGGATTGTTTAATATGTCTCCAATTTTGTGTCGGAAAGAAATAAATGTTTTCATATATTCGCGACGCGACTACAGCAACGCNTACATTTAATGAATTCCAAATTTTATTTATATTTTATCTTTATACTGAATTATTTTACATTTATTTATTGCTTTCGGAAAATAAACCGCCATCGGGAATATCAGGATTTCGCGTCGAAATGCGCAATTAAGCTGACGGGCAGATGTAACTCGAACAAATGTTTCAACGCGAATATATTTTTTTTTCTAGCTCTGCAGTACAATATGTAAACTACCTTTATCTCACGTCCGGCGTTTCGCAGCATTTTCCAGTCCGCAGCTACCAGTTCGTTGGTGGTTTTTAAATGTTCTCCCTTTAGTTTATTTCAGTACCTGGATAGTACAGGCTGTAATACAGCGATTTTTAGCAAGATTACGTTACATTAAAGCAAATAGGAGTTTTATGCTGAATAACTGGATGTAACTAGTTCAAAATTAAACTATGAATCGACAAATGAGAGAATTTAAACTCGTTGTTAGGAAACAAAACACTCCAAATTTATTTGTCCAACCTCTTATTACCACTTGACGGATAGTTAGTATATTATGTGAAATACTTAAACCTAGTAAGTCTCATCTAAGATTTGTGTTTCTTTTTTTGTCTTATGTTGGTTTTAACTGAAGAAATTGAAATTAATTGAAAAAATAAAAAATGTACCTATACTGAAATAAAAATGACTAACTTTTCTCAATGCAATTTTTGTTTTCCATAAAGACTCTCTGTTCACACAGTGTACTATGTGTCTGCTCTGACCGAATAATTCCTGTATCAGTTTTAGACTGGCTTTTGGATTTGTCGATGACTCCATTCGTCCATTTTAACTTAGGGACATT